CAGCCCCAGCCCCAGCCCCAGTCCCATTCCCTCCCTCACTGCAGAGGCCTTAATCTGCCCTCCCCATGCCCCTTCCCTCCACCATGCCCCTTCCCCCCACAAACTTACCAGCTGGACTCTGCTCTCCAAGCTGTTGGGCTGCATATTGGCAACCAGATTGCTGTTGGCCAATATGGCTTGTGAATAATTGGCCATTAGTATTGGCCCAAAAAATCTTTATCGGTGCATCCCTAATTTCAAAGGACTCAAATAAAGGTGAGATTCATGTGAAATATCTTAGACCAGTATTTCAACTCAGTGGGTGAGTCTAAATGTGCAACTAATTCCAAGCAATAAATTCTGGAGCAGACTGAGCTGAAGTAAACTACTCCAGGTGCAGCATCTACATGTGGGCCTGGGACATCAGCAATTCAAGCTGGGGTGAAGGAGGGCTGCTCCCATCCTGCTCTGCCCTGGATTCTGAGTGGTAGCGTTTGGCGGTGAAAAGGCTGGCTGGGGTATGAGGGTGCTGAAAGTGTGGAGCTGTGTGTCTAGGTGACAGGCAGAAGTCTAGCCCTCTGCTGCTTGGGCTAATTAGGCACAATTTATGCCTGCAGTCAACATCTATACATGCATTTAATTGCAGTTAATTACCCTACCGTAAGACAGTACTATCCCTGTACTATCTTATGGCAGTGTTAATTTGTTTACTGCAGCCTAATGCTGTAGTATGTGTAGATGGTGACGCTTTACTGTGGAGCTAATTAGTCTACTCCAAAGTAAAGCTCATGTGTAGATGCAGTCAGTAACACTCAAAGTTCCATAGGCCCTTGCAGATAAATAAAAGAATGCATAAATTATAACAGATCAGGCCTTACAGGAAGGAGAAATTGATTTGGGACAGTGATTCGAATCACCGAATTGAATCATTGTCCCCTGAATTGGCCAAATCTGAATCCAAAGCGAATACTAGCCACTTCGCACAGGCCTAATAGCTATTATTAAAATGTTTCCAGCTGGAAGAAAACAGTAGATAATGGAGCAACATATTAACTGCTTAAGTTCACTGTTCAATAAATTAATAGATAATAATCTCCTGCCATACCAGGAAAGACTGAAAAGGCTAGGACTCTTCAGTCTCAAAAGGAGAAGACAAAGGGGAGATATGATACAGGTTATGGAATCATGAAGGGTGTGAACAAAGTGAATAGGGAACTGTTATTCACTAAATCCGGAAATACTAGAACTAGAGGGCGCACACTGAAATTTAAATAAAACAGGTTTAAAACTAACAAGAGAAAGTACTTTTTAACATAGCATATAGTTAAATTGTGGAACTTATTACTACAGAAGCTTATAGAGGCAGATAGTATAGCCTGGTTCAAAAGGGACTAGAGAAATTCATGGATAATAGATCCACTAATAGCTATTAAACTAAATAGTCATGTGTATGCCCTCTGGAATCTCTAAACCAATGATGATGGATGTGATGAAGGGTATGACCGGGGATAGCGCACCCCACATATACCATATTCAAAGGCTCTCCCTCTAAAACATCAACTACTTCCACTGTCAGTGTGAAAATACTTGATTAGATGGACCATTGGCTGACCCACTATGACACCATTTATGTTATGTTCTATTTTTGTTAGATTTCTTGGTAAACATATTTTTCTTTCACCATTTTTCCATTGTAGCTAAGCTGGAGAAATGTATTCAGCTCAATAGAATAAGGGTAAAAAACACAAGAAAAAGCATATAATATAAATGATAATGAGGGTTAAAAGTTCAAAGGCAATATTGATATACTTTTAGCGGCAAGAGCAGGATACTAGGCATAACATGCTCATTGTTTCTATTTCTGTTTTTGCTGCTGACTCAGTGCATGACTTTGGGCAAATCACATAGGACAAAGGTTTCAGATTTTTGGGCCTACCGTTAAATATCAGTCCTGCAACTTATTTGAGTGTGCATATTCTTGCCAGTGGAAATTTGCAGAGGTGTAACTAGCAAGGTTTGAATGTGGCCAAGCTCTACTGGAGAGCAGTAGGAGTCAGGAGTGCAGGGGAAGTGGTACTGAGTGTGGAGGGATGGGTTTTACTTCCCCCTACTGCTGCTGCTGCTGCTTCTGTGATGAAGTATGCCTGCCCTGCTATAGCAGCAGCACAGTGTCTGTGTACCCAGCTGCTGCTGCTTTTGTTAGAGTATGGACCAGGGGTGGGCGAAATATGGCTCACAGGCTGGATCTGGTCCACCATCCAGCCTGCAGCGTCCCCCACCCCCCCAAGGAATTGTGCCCTGCCCAGCCCTTCCACCTGCAAGGGTGGGAGCGAGGCACCTACACCCATCCCGAACATATCCTCGCTCCCACCCCCATGGGCAGAAGGGCTGACCCCACTACCACAGGGCGGGGCTGCTGCTGCAGGCTTCCCTGGTGTCCTGCTCCCTCTGGGAAGCAGGTAGGGAAGCTGGGGGTGGGGCAGCAGCTGGGCAGGAGTGCAGAACATGGGGATAGGGCTGGCTGTAGCATGGAGCCTACGCCCAGGGGCACGGCAGCAGCATGGAGCTTGGGTGGGCACGGTGTGGGGGGGAGGGGTATGCAGACCCCCCACACACACTCCCCTCATGGTGCACAGGCCTGGCAGGCAGCAGGGGCAGCAGCACGGGGCAGGGGGGGGAGCTGCCTGGCATTGGTGCCTAGCTCCAGCCAGTGCTGCAAGAAGTGCAGCCCCCACTGGGCCATTTGTTTCCCCAGACCTCTCCACACTTGAGATGCACAGGAGGGAAGCCCCAGGCTCTGGAATGGACTGGAGCAGGGAAAGCAACCAGCTCCAGTGCCTGGGGCTTCCCTCCTGTGCCCTGAGAGTGCAGGGAGTGCCAGGGAAGCAGACAGCCTAGTGGAGGCTGCGCTCCTTGCTGCGATGAGCAGTGCTGGCCAGAGCCAGGCACCAGAGCCCCTGTCTGCTGCTGCACCATGATGGGAATGTGGGGGGCTCCCCACCCTCCCTCACACCCCACAAACCACACACATACACAGATACATGTACCCCCACCCCAGTGTTTTATGTGTTGACTATAGGAGAGGAAAGTGTGTTCCAGAGCCACATACCCACACCCCACAAACACCACATAAGCCCCAACATACCCTATGACCCCCACGGCCACACCCCCTCACAAACTCCCCTCACACACCCACACACCATAGATACACCTCTACCACATACATACGTCAACCATACCCTGCCACACAATATAAAAGACTAAGAATTTACTTTTGAGTTATTATGCAATCACCTGTATACAAAGTACACCAAAAATCACGACAGAGATATTTTTTGTAATAAAATTAAAATATGTTATAGTAGGTGTTTGATTTTTAGTGTATGATTTGGTTTTTTCTGTTTCTAAGAAGGGAACTCACCCCCAGGCTCTCTCAGAGGTCGAGAGAGGCCTGGGCCACTTCCATATTTTGAGGCTCCCGGTATATTAAAAAAAATTATTAATTCATAGTGCACTACAGGCAGTGTGGCCCAGTAATGGGACACAAGTTTAAAGTTGTATGATGAACATCTTCTTCTTTCAATCCTGTCAGTGTATCTCTGTGTCTGCATGTATAACCTCATTTGGAGATAACGTCAAAAGTCTAAATTTGAGGCCCTCTGTGAATGAGAGGTCCAGGCCAAATGGCCCTCCTGGCCCCCCCCCCCGTGATAGGCCCTGCTCACCCCTCCCTAAAGAAGTATGGGGGGGGCAAGGGGAGGGATTTCTGGTGGCAAAGGTCAGGGGTTAGGGGTGGGGCTTCTGATCTCAAGATGGTGGCCAGGGGTGGGGGCACCTGTCAAGGGGCAGGGCTACCCATGTGGCCCTCAACAGCTCACCAATCCTTGTTAAGCAGCCTTCCACCCAAAATAATTGCCTGCCCCTGGCATAGACCATTCTGGCACTCCCCCTATTTGGTGCCCAGGGCCGGTACGCCCCCCTTGACCACTTCAACTTATGCTATTGGGAATTTGCAAAGGTCTGTTCGTTTCAGAAACAAATTGAAGAATTAAGGCTATTGTCAGTGTTTGGACATCTAAATACAAAACATCTTGATTATTCCCAACTTCTATCTGAACTGATTTGAATCAGTAGATTCTCATAACGTCTGAGAATAAGTTACTTTAAATTAGGTGCCTAAATATGGAGTTTGGCTTTGTACTCTCTGCTTCTCTGAAATGAGAATACAGCAGTTCCACAGATGAAGTTGTGAGGCTTAAGGAAATAATATTTGTAAATTTTTTTGAGTGTCAAATGAAAAATTCAAGCAGTATTACTATTATGCCCACATATATCAAGTGAGCATTAGTGTGCATGAAAAAAATATGCATTTCAAGCCACCTCTTCTTTGACCCCAAATAAAAGAGGAAGACTTCCAGTGGTAGGAACCAGCAATCTCTCTCCCATGATTTTTAAACAATGCAACCTCTTCCTAGGCAAATTCAGAAAAGCATGCCTTGAAATATTAGCAAAAATGTATCTACTAATCTGTGATTGTATGCTTAGTACAAAACAGACATATAACACTGCATGCAACTCTTTACACTTCAGACTGAATAAGAAAGTTAGCTTACCTGCAGTTTCTCTCTCCTAGCCCCTGGGTGATCTTTATCCAGCCTTTGGGGCATATCAGTTTTGAAGATGCAGCACAGGAAGTGCATGGAGTATTTGAAGTAAACATCATCTTCACATTGCATTGCATGGATCTTAACTTAAAAACATGTATGCAAACACCAGACATTATACATTTTAATAATATCTTGCCACTACATTTTTGCCCATATTTCCATTCATAATTCTGCATGAATTCTACACATTTAAAAAATAATAAGCATCATTAATCCAATTTGATCATTCACAATCATTCATCAATTGTACATGAGAACAAGCCTACTTAACCTAATAACCGCAAAAGACATCGGGGTTTCCCTCACTTTATGCGAGTTATTTATGTGTGAATTCACTCTTATGCAATGGTTTTTTTACCCTTTTTATACCAAAAAATTGTTATATGCAATGTAAATTTACTCTTATGTGATCAGTGTGATGGAAGCTCACAGTCAACTGCCTTGTGCAGTGCATTGTGGGAGTGATGCGCACCAAAATATAGTCTCCTGTCTGGATTTGTGCTCCTCACTTGTTGACCGCGACATATTTCTGTAGTTGCTATCCCCATTATAGTAACATTCTCCACCACCCTGTGTTTGTGTGTACTGGCTGCAGTTGATGAGTACCAAAATTGTCTTGTAAAAATGGTAGAAATGGGTCAGTACAGTCAAGGTCTTGGAATGTATCCCTATTTGTTACATTATAAGTGAGTCCCCTTTATGCAGATTCAAGTTATGCGTCTTTTTCCAGGAATGCATGTACATCATAAAGCAAGGGAAACCTATATTAGGGGGTTAGATATCAGGTGCAATTCCTACCATAGTCATGCCACAGATACAGTTCAATCATGAGTGATGTCATTATCATACGAGGGTCTGAAAAGTGAGATGGTGATCTCAGTCCAGTTCCTAAGGAACAGATGTGGCTACCTGGCAGTTTTACAAGAAGGACTGGGGCAAAATATGGTTCATGGGCTAGATCTGGCCTGCCAATTGTTCTGACCTGTGGCTGCCCCACAACACTCCACATGGGGCCAAGTTCCACTCAGGACAGCCTGTGTCACACTCCAGTCCACATCCACCCTCCACCTGCCCATGGCACTGCCCCAGCCCCAGCCCCAGACAGTGTGTACAGCTTCTTTGCAGGGCTGCCCCCGCCACTGCTGCAATTGCCCAGGTATTACTTGACTCCCCCCCAGCCTCCAGCAGCTCTCTCCTCCTCCTCCTCTTCCTCCTCTTCCTGCCCCTGCTGTGCCAGGGCTGCTCCAGCCAGCAGGTAGCATGGGGAAGCAGCAGCGGTGGGCAAAGGTGCACTGGGGAAGTTCCTGCCCCAGCACATGGGGCTTCAGCTCAAGCTCCCAGTCACCTTTCACCCACTCCACCTGCCCAACGTGATGAGCAACCACCTATGGCACCCAAGTGGCTGGAAAGAAGCTGTATGCTCTGGCTGGGGTGGGGCCAAGGTTGGCGCCAGGGTGGTACCATTGGTGGATGCAGCATGGGCTGCCCTGGGTGGGAACAGGCACAGCTCAGCCCCATGTGGAGTGCTGGGGAGGCAGCTGCAGGTCAGAGTTGGGAGCAGGCTGCACCCACACCGGCACCCGCACCACCTGGGCAAGTTCTGCTGCATGCATCTCTTCTCCACTCCTGCCTCCCCTCACTCCCAGCTGGCTCCAGGAACCTAGGACAGGGTCAGTCCCCTCTCACACACACACACCCCACAACACCTCCCACCCAGCTCCTACTGATTCACATTTATATTTTCCTCCCTTTTATTCCCAACTGAAAGAAGTCTCTTCTCATGACACTGGATACAAACAGAGTCTCTCTGCGGCCCAACAAATGGAAAAACTTGCCTCCCATGCCAGCAGCTGCTAGTAACCAGTGGGAATGTGAAGGCAAATCTGTTACCTTAAGAGACTCTTTCACTGCAACATAGCAGTTGAAGGCCAGAGGCTTGTATACCCAACTCCACCCCTTCCATTTAGGTTGGCTTGAGCTCTACTAATTTTATTCAGCATGTTAGAATGTAATCGTGCTGTTTCTTCCACCTCTCTTTAATAGCTCCACAATGTGGATGAAAAGTCATGAGGTTTCTCCTTTCCATGGAGCATGACTGGCAATTCTCTATCAAGGCAATGGAAGAAAATGTGCAGCTATGAGGATGCACCCCACAGGTTGGAGATGCAGGTGAAAAGGGAAAAGTTAGGTCAGTGATCCTAAACCAGGATGCCAGGACACCTTGGGGTGCTGTGAGATCTTTTGAAGGGTGCCACAGGAAGTGTGAGGTGATAAGTAGTTAAGGGCAGATTCAGACTCTCCCTGCCTAGCTGCTACCCCCAGCTCCCACTACCTGTCCCTTCTGTAAGGAGGTAAAACCTGTAATAAATTAGTTTTTGGAATGGGGTGCTGTTTATATCACAAAAGTTATGCAAGGGTGCCTTGTGTCCGATGAGGGGTGCCTTGAATCTAAAAAAGTTGAGAACCACAGAACTAGGTGCTGTCATTGTTTCATCTTTGCTTCCACCAGGCCTTGAAAAATCAGTCTGAAGTAGCTATTGAATATATTTTTGCCAAGTCTACACAGGCTACAAAACACTTTCAGTTAAGTTTGTTATTGTATATCATTTTATTCCACCCAAATGCAGCTTTATTTTTTAATGTGGATGGAATGATGTTGCTCCATAGTTTCAGCTTTTTAGACTACTGGTACACATTTTTTTAAACAGATCTTTGTGAAAAGTAAACCATGAATAGATCCTGTTTTCATGGAATTTTCCCTAACCCTAACCTCCCTGGAAATTTCCCAAGGTCTTGGGCTGTGTCCTGTCGTACCTTCCCCTTTTTTTACAGGAATATGTTTACACAAGCAGCAATAGCAGACAAAAGGGGAAGTAGGCATGCAAATGGGACATGTGTTTAACGTGCCTTCCCCTTCGGGAACTGGAAATTATTTTTTCTTGCTGATTTTGCTTTTAGGAAAGTGACAGAAGGTAAGAGGGGCCTGAACGTCAAGATTTGCTGCAGCCATGAAGGTCCAGGAAATATGCAAGAAGCAAGGTTTCTTTGGTAATATCCTTTACTGAACCAACTGTATAACTGGGAAAGATGTTAGACAAGCTTTTGGGCACAAAGTGTCTTACACACACCCACTTTGTCTAGTCTATAAAGTACAAATCTACCCTGCTTTCTCCTTCTACGTGACTTCAGACTAATCAAAGATAACTTGCTTCTCACAAAGTTTGGATATGCATTCAGGCACCCTCAAAGTTTGGAGAGGTTAAAATTCAGACAGTGTTCTAAGTCAAAAATAGCCATAGCTCCAATGAGATGGAATTACTGGCAAGGTACAATGTGTGATAACTTGTACACGACTGGTTTTGCTATCAGTGGACAGTAGTGGGGGCACTGGTGATCAAGGTATAGAGAGGGTCTGCTCTACTTTGAAAGATGCAAAGTTGCCCAGAAAACTGACAACCAGGAAGCAGAGTTGAGAAGACAGCAAATTCTAGAGTCCAGATTCTCCATGTCTTGAATTATATTGTCATTTACAGCTGTGTAGAGTGAGGTAGTTAGTTGTGTTAACCTGAAGTCAGGCAGAAAGCACCTATGGTATCTGAGAGCATAGAGGGTGTACAAAGCTACTTTTTTCATCTGATCTGGTAATATTTTTGTACTCACACTGCACTAAATCACAGTGCTAAGCATAAAGAAGGGGAAATCAGATATTAGATGCCACAACAATTCCAGAACAAATGGGACTTTCTAGCCCTAAGACACTTTTTAGTCATGATAATCCTATAAAATATTTAGTTCTTCCAAAAATACATGATAGCTTCGCTGGAATAATTACTGATTACAGGATTCTAAGCCTTTTTATTGTTGCCCAGATATTTCCCATATGCACTGTGTGAGCCAGCTCACAGACAGTATAGGAATGGGAATGTCCATATGCTGGAACTGGCACAGTGACTTTGGTAAGGAAGCTTCTGCCTCTCCTAATGAGAGGCTGCAGAGGCAAATGTGACCTCCACAGCAAGTCAGGCCAGCTCTCAGTGCTACACTAATTTTGCCTCCACTGCAATACCTCATGGGTCACAACAGTGTTGCCAAAGCACAGGTTTGCCCAGGACACACCCTTCTACCTAATCTGTCCTTCCTTTTTTTGGCATTGCCTGGCCTGCTTTACAGTTAACTCTGTGGCTGGCAAATAGGCCCCTTTAGTACTATCCCTTGCAAGGCTCTTATGCCCACCCCATGGCTTATTTGCTCCAGCCAGAGTGGAACAAAATCAAGGTCAAATGTCTGCCCAGACCTAGATGGTCTGTGAGGCTGGCCTTGCCAGTTTGGGAGGCTAACATCTTTAAGTGATACAAAAATGAATCAGGCTATTATATTCTTTGTCCAAGTGTTTTTTTGCTCTTTTTTTAATGCAACCTCTTTCTTCACCAAAGAGAAAAGAAATAACTAGCTCACAATATCCGTCTCCTCTCTCAACTTCCTCTACAGTGATCCTAGTGTGCAATTTATTTGCTTTTAATTGCTTCTTCACTATCTCCAGTTTCCTAAACATGGATGCAATTTCTGGATTAAATACACTTTTCTAGTTGTACACTTCTCTTCTCAGTGATGCTAACAGCTTGATATTTTAAGTGCATTTGCTTTTGATTCTGGGCCATAATCCTCAATGGCGATGTAAATTTTTGTTGCCTTCCATTGAACTCTCTCCAATTTGTCCACATGCTTTCTGTATTGGAGGCTCCAAAACTGGACACGGTACTTCAAATGTAGCCTCACACAGTACTCCAGGACCAAATAGAGAGAAAGAATCACTTCCCTCAATCTGCTGACAACATTCCTACTACTGTGGCCCTGGTATGCCATTAGCATTTTTTGCAACAAGGGCACAGTCTTAGCTCATACTCGGTTTACTGTCCACTGTAACCCCCAAGTCCTTTTCTGCAGAGTTGCTGCTTAGCCAGTCAGTCCCCAGCCTGCGTCAGTGCATAGGATTGTTCTGTCGTAAGTACAGGACTTTGCACTTGTCCTTATCGAACCTCGTAAGATTTCTTTTGGTCCACTCCTCCAATTTGTCGAGGTCTCTCTCAATCCTAGCCCTACCTTCCAGTATACCTACTACTCCCCACAGCTTGGTGTCATCTGCAAACTTGCTGAGGGTGCTCCCTATCCCATCTTCCAGGTCATTGATGAAAATACTGAACAAACCTGACCCTAGGACCAACCCCTGAGCCACTGTATTTGATATCGGCTGCCAACTAGACATTGAGCCACTGACTACTCTGAGTTTCATAACTGAGATGTATGAATGAAAACAAAAATCTCCAGAGAAATATATTACCCATCAGAACACTATCAACATTTTTTGTCACATTAAGATGCTCACATACTATGCAGAGTGCAGTACATTCACCTAGCTATATAGATCTATGTGAAAAATTAATTTTTAAACGCTGTGCCTATATAGCACTTACAAGGAACCAGAAAATAACTAATCATTATCTATCACCTAGCACCTGCAAGCAGCACTATGACAACAATCCAATATACAGGCAATGAGGGATATATATGTATATATTTAAGTAGAGAGATTGTGAAGACCACATTTTTTAAAAGATTTATTGTAAAATCCTAGTTTTTTTAACCTCTATAGTTTGATGGATAATCCTTTGAAGAAGCCATTTGTTATTCACCAAGGCAGTCGCCTGTCTGATATTAATAAATGCTGATTCAGTAGTCAGCCGGCAGTGTATTTTTATCAGCAGGTTTGATGGATTCTAAAACTGTCTTTGATTCTAATTCTTTATAAGCAGGATATCTTTACAGTCTCATGTAAAGCCTCATTGCTAAACCCCTTTATTGGGTCCAGAGTTGTCCTTAACCATTTTCAGGCCAACCTTTCAAAACAATAACTTTTTTAAAAAAATTAGGAAATTCTACTAGATGTTTTGGGGCTTAATCTTGTCATGTGCCAAGCTCCCATGAAACCTATTGAAGCTAGTGAGAGTCAAAGATGCTCAGTTCTTTGTAGACTTGTGTCTATAGTTCTCAGCCATGACATATCACTTGCATTCAGTACTATAATTTAGAATTTATGTAACAGCCAAGCAAATTCCCAGTTCCTTAACTTTAGATATATAAAATAGACCACACACACAAGAAAAGTACCACATAGTCTATAGTTCTGAAAGAAAGATTAGCAAACATACCTTCTGAGTCTGCCCTTCAGCTGTGGAAATGAAACTTGCTGTTAAGAGGAGAAACAATAAACCAGGAAGATGCATTTTCATGTAATAAGGAGAAGGCACTTTTCTTGAAGGGGGTGGTGATAGTGAAGAAGGCGATGCCATTTCTGTAAGAAAGGACTGCGTACCAAAAGTCAGATCCAAGAAAAAAAAGAAGTTAGAAGTAAATAAGGAAAAAACATTTTTGCTTTCCAACTCCAATATATATGGAAGCTTCTGCTACTTTTAAATATTATTCATGAACTAATATCAGCTTTCTCTTTTGTTTTTTAAACACACGCACACACACGCGCAAAAGCTTAATCCACAAGTGAAAGGTTTACTCAAAACAGGAACATCTATGGATTTCCTCCTACATATCAGTTCAAAACAGATGGAAGGAAATCCTTAGTTCTCAGCATATTGGAATGAAATATGTTAACTCTATCCTTAACTGGAGGCAATTTCAAAGGGCCATCTACAAAAACGTAGAATCCACAATGGTAAATTATTTCAGTTTCATTGCTGATGTTAATGCACTCAGGTCATCTCAACCAGAAAGCATACCCCTCTCCTGCTCATGTACATATCTTTTAATTTACTAAAAGTGTATGGATTGCTCAATGCGAAAAGTAAAATATATACATAATTATCTAGACACAGCATTGGTAGCTTTGGAAACTATGACTATTAGCACTTGGAGTAATGCAGTTCCAGTGTTTAATTTTAAGAAGCTCAGTCTTGGGCTGAGTTTGCAACTGAATTTCTCCTTTAGGCATTGTGGAATATTAAGGGGAAGATCAACAACCTGTATGATGACAAGAGCTTTAGCTCCCAATGATGCCAACAGCATCCATTTTGTTCGGTGGGGTAAAGAATGACTTATGTCTCTACTTATAAATAATATTAGACATGGATGTTAAACAACAGTCATAATTTCTTTCAGCCATTTCTAATATGTACGTGTGTGTAAAAGCAAGACAGTTATTTTTAGAATTAGTTTACATTTCCATAAATATATGTACATACACTTTTAGAATGCATTAATTTTTAATGCTTGCATAGTACTTTGCATGTGGATATATATGCAAAGATGTACTTACATGTGTGTGTGTGTACATAGAACGCATATAGAAGTTTGCATATATATTTGTATCTGTGCAAGGTGTTGTACAAAAGTTCTATACAAGCGTTAAAAATGTTCCTCCCCCAGGAAAATTATGCGTATGCGCGCACACACACACACACACACACGCACACATATACTGTATTAATGTACAGTCTGTTATATATACACTCCCCCAAAGAAAGTACATAAAAACATAGCAGGTACTGTACTTACTATTGCTGTTAATCATAGCTTACTCCCCCCATCCTACAAAGATAGCCTGATGGACTGCAGTGCTATATATCTGGCAATAACAGGAAATAAACAAGGCAAGCTTATTCACTATGGTATAAATAAAAAAGCACGAACTCACAAAAGTCCACCTTGGTCAAATGATCCAATTCATTTGTTCTTTAAAGGTCATCTGATATGTTTGTGTGTCCTAGGACATGCAAGCAAAAAATTGCCCAGGAGCAGGCTGTGGAGGGCTCTAAGCTCCATTCTGCATCAGATTGCAATACAATTTATTTGCTGAGAAATCATGCTCCAGAATAGACAGACCATTTGCTCCGAAGTTCTAGACAGTTCTGATGGAATGGAGGCCAGAAAGCAAACTGGTATTAAGGAACAGGGAAGAAGGTAGTCACATATGTGTGCTCCCTTTTTCTTGATGACAGAAACTCTCGGCCAAGCCCCACATCAGTTCTCTCACGTCTCACCTCCCAACCACAACCCAGCCATCTTCTCAATGGCAAATATTTATTTTGGCCTCCTTATGCCCCAAATGAAAAGCACCAGTTACCTGAACTGCTTCAGCTAGGAGATCAGCTCTAATCCCTCCTTACCAATGAAAATCATGCCCCAAAATGACCATCCTCCCATAACAAAAATATTTGATCTTTCTCTACCTACCAAATGGAAACCTTGGGCAGATTAGGAATTTACTAAAGAGTGGGGTATGCTGCCCTCAAACTGTGGGGGGATCATGGTGAGGTATGGCTGGAGCTCTGGGGAGGGTGGGGCAGGGGTAAAGGGGAACTTGCCTGCTGCTGCACCCAGCTGATCTGGGCATAGGAAAGCCCCAGAACTGCTCCTGTGCTACTTCTGCTGTGTGTCGCAGGAAGCAGTTGCACAAGGAACATCAGTGGTGACATACAGATTCCTTTTTCCAGTGCCTGCTCCCTGCTTGTCCCTGCCTTGGCCAGGAGCAGGCCCTGGAAGGAGGAACCTGCATGCTGCTGCTGCTGTCCCCTGCCAAGCCCAGCTCTCCACTCAGCTGCTTCTTGCAGCCCACAACTGGATCAGGGTAAGAGTGGTTCTGTGGCTCCCCCACATCTTTACTCATTCATACTGTAAAAAGATCAATAGAATGGGTATGATAGTTTCACTAAATAATATACTATTAATATGGTATCCACTGAAATAAATATGAATTATTTACTGCCTCAGTATTATGTAAGGCAAATGAAGAGAAGAATGAAAGGTGTGGTCATTGCTCATTGGTCATGATATAAATAAACTCACATCTTGGACTACTAGTCCAAGAGCATTTGCTGGTGGTCCCTGAAAATCTGACTCATCACACAGGGTGTGTCCAGATGAGTGTGCATGTGCCGCTTGTGGCATCTCAAAGCAGTTTGAGATGCTGCAAAAGGCATGTTGGGAACAACAAAAAAATGTTCCCTGAGCTGCATATTTGCAGTGCAAGCTCTAACTTTGATACCTGGAAATCCAGATATTAAAAAAAATAATCTGCAGGGAAAAAAAGAGGGCAAGGCACACTTCTGTAGTGTGCCCTGAAGCAACTGGATGCAGGCTCCTCCAAAGAGATGCTCTGGCCAGACTGTTTCTATGGCTTCCCCTTGCCCCAGTGCTTTAGCATGTTGCCTCAGCATGCGGGGCAAACTGGAGTGGTGCAGGTTGCAGAATGACCGGGACCGGGCTCTGTCCCAGGTAAGTAGGGACTAGGGGTGGGGCACACTGGAGGTGGGGGGCTGTGATGGTGCGGGGGACTGTGTGTGGGTGGTGGGCTGCCTAGGTGGGGTGGGTAACTTGTCCATCTTCCACAGGAT